GTAAAGTCTTAATTACTAATTACACAGTTGTTCTTTTGAGTTCTCCTGCCTAAAATCTATATTGCCTTCCCTATGATTTTAAATATAAATGATTGAAACTCATACAAGTTTACCACAATTTAAACTTAAGATAATTATTTAATTATTAAATCCATAATTATATTAAAATATAACACTTATGAAGTTACTAAATATTAACTATTTCTACTTAATAATTTAATAATTCTGATAAAAACACGCTTGATTATTTATTTTAGAAATCATACGGGCTATAATCATTAATATGACTATATTATCAATACTTAAATCAAAATTTATTTGAAGGAATGCTACTGTATTACAATAATTGTAAAACAAGTATGTAATAATAACTCGGAATAATTATTAAAAACTGCTCATCTTGTTATAGATGTCGGCGTCTTGTCTCTATTATTTTATTAGCCGTTTAGCTATAGTTTGATTTCAGATAATGCATATTTTAATGTGCCATTTGTGTTTTTTTATTGGAATTATTATTTTAGCATATTTTTCAAATTATTAAAGTGCATTTAGATACAATTACAATTAATTAATTGGTGTATAGTATTTTTGTATTATGGGTTTGTTTATTTTTTTATGAAATGAATTTTTTTTCCCTATTAAAATAAACATAGCTTACTAAATCACTATATGTATAAATACAGGATGTTAATTAAGTATCTGGCCAAACTTCAGGAGTTGATTCTTTGAGTGTTTTTAAGGTAAAAAGTTCACATAAACATGTGTTCGGAAAAGTATAACTTTAAAGATACAGGGGTGTCAAGGTGTTTTCTAATAGACCTTTTTTATTAATATCTCAAAGATCCGTTAGCCGATTTTGTTGAAATTTCGCCGTGTTGTGAAATTTAATAAGTTAGCACTAATTAAATGATAATTATTATTTACAACAATATTTAAACGATAAAAACTTATCCCAATAAATATTTGGCACCGCCTTGAATTAATTTGTTTTATGTTGGTGGTGGAAACAATGCAAGCTTTTTCTTTGTCCTAAGTTGTTAATTAAAAAAATAATTATCATATAAAAAATATAGGTCCTAATAGCCTAAATTTTATCAAAATCTATCAGCAGATCCGATGAGACCCGAATGTCAATGTTATTATATGTTTTGGAACTTAATGATTTAATTAATTATTCCCTTTAATGCATCGATTGTGCGCATTATCCTACGCGACAAGAAAAAATATTGCATTAGTTTAAATTTATTATTTATGTTATTCCGCTCTTTCACGTATAATTTGCCCCCTGCTTCTCATACGGAAAGAGTTAGATTAAAATAGCCCATCTGTACTTAACAACCGATGCCTTGACGCATATTCTTTTTTATAATAATATCGGCTTTCCCAGACTAAACATCCATATCCATAAAATAGTTGGCCCACACTAATAAGACCTCATTTCGGCCCTCGGACGGCCTTGCACTATTCAGCTATCGACTTACGTGTTGACAAGTTGATTAGGCAGGTTATTGAACTCCATGTCGCCTCTAGCATGTCGTTTTTTCAAAGATGGGTCCCATATAAACGCGGCCAGAAGTATTTTCAATACTAAAAACTTTATTATATATTATATCCCGGCGCGTCTCGTGTCGCAGAAGACAAACAGAAACCCAATGAAATGAAGATAGGAATCAGGAATGCACTGTTGCGTTGTTGCTGTTGGGGATGGTCACTTAATATAAGAATAGTAACTCTTGGAAATGGGGTGTTATTCTCGCGCGCCTAGAATAATATACTTATTTAAAGTCTTAATACACCGATTTCAAGTAAAAGTTTTAAAAGTTAAGAATACTACTTATTATTATATAAAGCATTTATACTTCATTTAATAATAATTTCTTCGTTGCTAAAGGATTTATTCACTTGATAGTAATATAAGTTTTTCTTAAATATAAGTCATTATATATCTTTTTTTTTTAGATTCAAAATTACTTAAAGTGACTATAACTATATCTAAAAAGCAAGTGTAAAAGTAAAATAGTTTCAAATATTTGTTGTACTCATGGAAAGAATACTATCCTTAAAGAAAGTGTAAAATTTTAAGTGTATGATTGTTCTTGAATATAGAAATGATTTTTTTTCCGTGTACAGGGTATGCCATATAAAAAATAATCCCAATCCAATCACACTTTTCTGAACCACACTATCGATGTTAAAATATCTTTCTGAAGTACATCCTAACACATACAAACTTTAGGTTTGCACTTAAATAAAATTCCCAAGTTTTTTATTATTGCCAATATCCTAATTAAAAAAAGAGGGCGAGGGGTAAAATAGAGCCACAAGCGAATCATTTTTTGAGACCTATTCGAAATGTTGTCAATAATTTACCTAAAACTTATGTAAACTTTATGCATTTTATGGTCTTTCTTACTTTCTTAAAAATGTTAATACACAAAAAAATGATTTTCTACAAAAGTTTTTATTTCAAAAAATACTGTAAGTAAACATGTTTATCGCTTGCACAAATATTTCTTGAACGTAAATATTTTTTAGGTACCGTAATTTCATATTAATGTTATAAGTTATTGAACTCACAGTTTTCTGTCTGAATGAGTGGGAGTAAATAGAACAGTACGATCAAAACGAGGACTGTCCTCTGGAATAGAGGACAGTTGGCAACCTTAATTATACATATGATGGGGGGAGATCCTATATTTCCGAAAATGTTAACCATTTTTTGTAGGTTAAGGATTTTTTTCCGCTTGAATTCAACGCAGTGAAATATAGCTTTTTTACTTTGTAAATTTTCTTCCAATAGCGAAACACTTGGAATTATTTGCACTAAAAAGTGCATGTCGTACTCATAGAAACAATGTTTTTATTACAGTATGGCATAGCCTTATACACGAAGTAGCCCAGAGCCTATACAGGCCGAGGTTCAACAAATTAGAGACAAGCTGCAATTTTGCATGGAGCTTCATTTTGTAGATTACCTATGTGGTAGGAAATTTTTTTCTTCTCAATTTTTTACTCGTGACTTTTTTTCCTAAAATTCGTAGTTTTAGAGTTATTGAAGAAAAGGTAAAAAAAGGTTTTGGGGTGACGGGCTCAACGGTTCATCGCTCGGGTTTCAGGATGTTTAAAGATCTACAAAATGAAGCTCCATGCAAAATTGCAGCTTGTCTCTAATTTGTTGAAGGTCACCCATGTAAAATGATGTATCGGCCCTGAGCTAAAGTTGGTAGAAGAAGATACTGAGGAGAAAAGCAAACAATTCTCTGTACTTTGACTTTATGCCTTGGCATAAAGTGAATGTAAAGTAAAATAAGAGGGTTGTCGTTGAGCTTTACATTTTTACCCCTCTTAAATACGTTTTAAAATGTTTAGGGGAAAGTCGGGTAGCCCGGGACAGCGGGTATCATCGGACGGTCATCGTTTTCTGTTATTGGTCGTTTTGCAGCTTCCATCATATGATTTTTCAAACTATTTTGATGCACGTGTTAACAATTATTCAGTTGTACTTTGAACGGTTTAGACGTTAAAAATTTATGTGTAATATTTTTTATGTTTTCGGCGTGGACAGAATAAACTTTGATTGCCTGTTTCTCTTAATTGGTAATTGTTAATACATGCACATATGAATAGTGAATATAAAAAATAGGTACAGGCACTCTACATTTTAACTGCTTACCTGTTGATAGTTAATTTGTTGCAAGGTGCACGGAGGGTGTTACCGGACACAACCATGTCGGGTATGACCGGACGCAAAATAATTTCAATATTTTGTCGTAGAATATTTAAAACACCGAATTTGCTTAACAACAAAGTTCGTGGGTAATGGAACGAAGATTGTATGAAGGCAGCAGTTAGAAAAGTGCTATAATTTCCTCACGTATCTACTTTATCATATAATAAATATAATAATACGTATATAATAAAAATACGTAATAATATAGGTACAGGCACGGGCACGTACATAGTACGTAATACGTGTAATATAATAATAATAGGGGAGATTGCCCCAGTGCCGGACACCTAAGCTCTTTCCCTTCTATTTTTTTGAAAAAACATTCTATTACAAAAATTTAGACTGCCATTGATGGAAGAAAACCTAATTAATATATGGTAGTAAATTTAAACCGATATGAATTCATATAGACAGTGAAATTATAAATTTACGGCAGTATTGCTAATCACTTTGTAAAAAAAACTGTTCCCAGTACCGGACAATATATATTTTGAATATTAAACCAGATAAATAAATTTACAAAGCTTTCATTAGAACAGATAAACGGACAGATTACAAGAAATAATACTACTCTTACGAATTCATACTTCTTAATAAGTTATTGTATGCAATGGTCACAAACAAAGTAAGGGATATTATCATTATCAGCATACTCTACATGAGCCCACCCATCACATCTTGAACATTGGACCCAGTCCTCCTCAAAAGTTTCACTGCAAATGATGCACTCGGTTTTGTTAGAAGCCTTTTCGTCTGTTTTCTTTTCTTCAGCTTCGTCTATTAGCTTTCGTTTAACAGACAGAAACTTTTCAGATTTGGTATTGATTTTGTGTTTTTCATTTATGTTTTGTTATACTTTGTTGCTTTGCTTTCTCCTGTTTTTTTAACTCAACCTGCTGTTTTACTTCTGCTTTGTCTTCAAGCATTTTTTATATGGCGTAGAAGTTAATATTTCGCTTTTTTCTCCTTTCCTTTTCCTTAAAATTATTTTTCTCTGTAGATCATCAGTAACTGGAGAAATCTGACTGATGGCATTTTGGAAGGCTGTTGATGTGGAGGGAATTGCCTCATAGTCGACTGACTGAAAGAAGTTCATTGTTTTGTCGGTAAATGTGGAAATGTGGAAAAATTTCTACTTTTTTCCCACTTTTTTCATTGTTAACTTCAGGTATGGCGGGAATCAACCCATCAATGATTGAAGATGAAATATTTGTATCTTTATTAGGAGATCGGGGCGTCAAACTTACGGTAAAACCAACAGAAGAAGAAGTTAGAAGTTCCGTTGATTTATTGTAGAAACGGAAGGAACTATTTTGTCAAATGAAGACTGGTTTAGAGATCCGAAGTTTAAGCCAGTAGAAGGGGTTAGTGAATGATTTTTAGGTTCATGGTTCTCTTGGTTGTCGGCTTCTAATATTTTCGTAGTGTTTGAAGCAGGAAGAAAATCTAGTTCTGTAAAGATATTTTTGTTTAAGGGATATATCCCTGTACATTGAAATGCAGATTGTGCCAATTCCATTCTACAAATTTTTGAAAATGCGCTTCCAACTAAACCACTGATTTCTTGAACAGTTATTTTTAAGCCTAGTCTTCCGTATTTGCTCATCCAGACCTCACATGCTGCATTAAATGCACCTTTAAACGGTTTCATAATAGCTCTGTCCAAAGGCTGCAGTTTGTGTGTCGTGTGAGGGGGCAAACTTAGCATGTGAACGTGGTGTTCTTTTGCATATAAAATAACTTGCAGATCCTTATGTGTGCTATGGCCGTCCAATATTAAAAGAATTGGGTTTTCCTCAGTCGGATTAACTCGATCCACGAATGCATTTAACCATTTTAAAAATCCTTGGACGGTTATCCATCCACTTGGATGAGCGACAAAAATGCTTCCAATCGGTGCATCTTTCGTAAGTTTAACATCCATTCTTTCCCTTAGAAAAACAAGGTGGTATAAATTGGTCTCCTGCAGCATTTATACAAAGCATTACTGTTTGATTTTTCCCTCTTTCACCAGATGTTAGTTTGCTGACCTGTTTTTTCCCTTTAATGACAAAACTTTTAGTGCGTTAGAATGTACCACAGACACGCCGGTTTCATCGCAGTTAAAAATCCTACTTGGGGAAAAGGAATATTTCTTCATCAGGTTCTCCAGCTTCTCAAAAAAGGCCTCCACTTGTTGCTTGTTAAATCCTTGCGCTCTCTGAAGGCTAGTTGATTGGGCAGAACGCAACGAAAATTCTGGATGCCGGTTTATAAACCCACGATAAAATTTATTTCCTGCTGTCTTTTTTGTTTTACTAAATTGATGCTGTAATTTGAAATGCTCAGCGAGATCATATGCTAACTTTAAAAATTCCTTTTTGTTGACTGGTAAAAAACGATTATTCAAATCCTTAAGGTGTCCCACTATTTCATTTTCTTAGTCAACATTAAATGTATTTTCAAATCTTCCTAATGTAGGTGTCATTTTAACGACATTTCCTTTTCGGAGAGTCGTGACCCTGTCTCCTAAAGAACTTTTAGGAACAGAGAAGTGGAACGCTGCCTCCCTAATGCTATATTTCCCTGACAGTACATGGTCCACAGCATTTTTCATGCTCGTTTCATCCCACTTTCCTTTTTGTTTATTTGGCATGATTAATATGCCTGAAACAACAAATAATAATAGTATTGACGGCTATAATCTGCCTATCACGATCAATTATATTTTGTCCGGTACTGGGCAATGTACAGGTGTCCGATACTGGGGAAATGTCAGCAAAAAATAAAATACGCATTGAACATAACCTAGAAATAATTTCGTCCGTTTGCGCATGTGGTTATAGTCTCCAATAATGTAAGTTGTTATATAAGTTATTAGTGAACTACTAAACTTACCTTTACGTATTATAAAAGGGGCCTAAAGTTTAGTGGAATCACTTGAAAACACCCACGTAAACACTTAATCACAAATATCTCCACAATGACATGAACTAAATGGAAATGGCGCGAAATGTGTAACGTACATATAGCGTTTTAACTGATTTTAATAGGGAGTTACAGCCAATTCATATAGAAACCAGAAAATCAAAAGTGTCCGGTACTGGGAACTGTCCGGCGCTGGGGCAATCTCCCCTACGTATATAGGCGGAAGAAGGAATACGGAAGTATGGAGATTTATAAAAACAACAACTGAAAAACAGGAATCAGCCTCTATATAAATAATAACCAACAAAGAATGGGTGAAATATTATTCCAAATTGTTGTCAGAGAACAGACCTGAGTATCAAGAACCGCCACAGCCAGAAATAAACATTGAAGGAGAGGAAATCTACGTGGATACCAACAAAATAAAGACCGCTATAATGTCTTTAAAGAATGGAAGAGCATGTGGCCCAGAGGGAGTATATGCGGAACTCATAAAATCTGGAAGCAAAAAACTGTTTAGAATGTTAACAAACATAGTTAACCAGTGCTTAAATGGTCATCCAGTACCTGAACAGTGGAAAAAAGCATATATCTCCTCTATATATAAGAGTTATCAGATGCATAAATGGCATTCTATGGAGCACTGAAATTACAAAAAACAGGAAATATAATATATACGAGACACTAGTTAAAAGCATATTACTCTATGGATGTGAAACATGGCGACTCACTGAAAGGAATAAAAGGAAATTAGAGACAACAGAAATGGACGCGATTAGAAGAGCAATGAGAATTTCACGGAGGGATAAGATCAGAAATGAAGACATTAGACAACAGATGGGAATAGAAGGAACAATAGTAAATGATATAGAACAAAAACAATTAATATGGTACGGCCACGTTCAGAGAATGCACAATGAAAGAATTCCAAAACAAGTCATTCATTGGATACCACCTGGTAAACGAAAGAGAGGACGTCCCAAGAAAACATGGATGGAAGGAATAAGAAGGTCGATGAGCGAGAAAAATCTGACCGAAGATTAATGGGAAAATCGCACAGGGTGGAAATTAGGCATCGGACAACGTCGTAGGACGTTCTGACCCGAATTTATATATCTACTTTATCAACTCCACCAAATCTTAACGAACCTTCAACTTCCAAAATTAATATCACTTATTTTGAAGAAATAAATCCCAGTTCTGATACCAATACAATTTTAGAAAAAAGTATTAGTGATGTTCTTAAGGAAATTTCTCCCGCCCCTAATCAGCTGAACGTAGAATTGTGTCAAGATTAAGATGTGCTGAATAAAGTGAAATGCTTACTTCTACTCCATTTAAAAATGAGCTGGAAGAAAAAAATAAAAACAAAGATAATAGAGTTAAGAAAAATTTCAGTCAAAATGAGCAATTCTCGCTAAAAAACAGTTGCTCAAGAACAGAAAAAGCAAAGAACACAAATAGAGGAAGATGGCTGATTCTACATCAGGCGGCGGTCGGTGGAGCAAGCAGCAGGAAGTGACGTAAATCAGCTAAGAACATGTAAAATACGCTAGTAAATAAGAATAAACAGGTTTGAATCGCTTTGTTTTGAACTGTTTTGAACTGCTTTTTAGCGTAAAACAACAGACCTTTTCAGTTTTTGTTCAAACCCGTTTACTTCTGTTTTAAAGCGGTTGTTTCTTGTTTAAACCCGTTTATTCTTATTCATTAGCCTATTTTACATGTTCTTAGCTGATTGACGTCACATCCTGCTCCTTGCTCCACCGCCGCCTGGTGTGGAATCGGCCATCTCCCTCTACTAAATTATTGTACCGTTTGTCATGAATGTTTTGACGAAGACTAGATTCAGTGTTGTAAATGTAAAAACTGGACCCATAAGGCTTGTTCTGGTGTTTAAAAAGATAAAATGTATTACAAATGTGATCTGTGTTGAAATTTTTGTGTTCTGCGGCAATATCCACATTTTTTTCTGGGTCCGATATTGCCCGCCAATTTTTCAGAATGTTCCTTTTTTTTTTGTCTTTTTTTCCTCAGATAATTTTGTACTTATTTTTTAATTTTTAGGTTTGTTAGTTTTTAGATATGTAAGGTAAATGTAAAATAATCGTTTGAATATGATTTTCTTGCAGAAGTTTGTTATTAAAGGTATGTTTTGCGACGATTTGTTATCATGTCCGATACTACCCGACTTTCCCCTATAGAAGGTATAGTAATACGCTTTGAAAGTTTATGGAAGGTATAATAACAATTTGCTGTTGGTATCTTTTAGAATTTTTATACTAAGACGAACATAGAATAGACAGACCTGATAAGCAAAGACGGTAAATTTGTCAAAAGTGCAATAAGTCTAGTAAGAGGGCATTTCAAGGTTAATAGGAATTTTAAGCTGATGGGATTCACGGAAAACGCCATTTGCAAATTTTGTCAATCAGGAGAAGAACCGGCAGAGAACATTCTATGTCAATGCGATAGCCTGGCAAATGGCTTTAAACGATATACCCTTGGCAATATGACCTGGAAGATACAGTCTTCAAGTTATTAGTTGAAGGAATCAGACATATCACAACCACCTATAGATTTGACACAATCCTAATAATAAAAATATCTAGGAAAATCTTGGTTTGAGGTGTAGACAACCTTAATAATATTTTGAAGAGACTCTTTATAGGATGTTCCATTATAAAAAACACAAAAACACAACTTTGATGTGTCACTTTTTTGGGGGACACTTGTAGAACTACGTATATTTTTAAAAAATGCTCTAAATTAACCTACATAAGTACTTACAAAATTCCATTTCAATACAAACTGTCGTTCTCCTTAGAGCCTCCGCGTTGCATGAGAGGCGCCACCCTGTATATAGTAGTAGAGTATTAATTAAAAGGGTTGGGAAAAGTGATTTTATGGTAGGTATAAATACGCCTTCAGACCATTTTGACCGGAAAGGCAAAGGCCATTATTACTGGCCATTCATGGTCAGTAACATGAATTAAGTCCAGCATGAAAAATTTCAACTATTCAACCAAATATTACAGCTGATCCTACCTGAAGTAGTCACTAAAATATATATTTAGACCTTGTTGTATTTATTATACTTACCTTTACTCAATAAAATTCTAAACAAATCCTCTTTGGTTCCATTTGGTGTTCGTAAATTCAGATTTAATGAACCATTGCACAGTTTGAAGGTTGAAAATATAAGAAATCTAAGAAAATTTTGAAGACACTGCATTGCGTTTAGGAAATTGAAGTGGAGTTTTATAATACCAGCAATAATTATTAACTATGTCGTTAGCCCTTAATAGAGCATTACATACTTCGAATGTCATTGTCAATGATATTTAATAAAGAATTAGACGTTCCTCAAAATTGCCAGTTTGGATCCATTAAACTATACTTCACCGATTACGTTCAATACGACTCAGAAATAATAATAAATATAATGAACCGAGTGCATCATCCTATTGCATCCACTGCAAGATTATACTTACTTCGAACAAAGGGGGCAGGGGACTTTCAAAGTTCGAAGATATTTGCAGAAAACAAGTAAGCAGTTTACAAAATTATTTTAATAACAAAGAAAAAACAACTTTACACCGAGCAATAATAACAGCTGACACAGGATGTTCAGTCTTAAACCTAGCTAGAAATGAAATCACTGATAGATCACCACTGAGTGTATGCGACATAATGCAGGAATTAAAGGGTAAGGCGCTACACGGAAAATACTTTACTGAATTGGATGCAGAGTGTGTAGACAAAAGTAAATCAGTAAAATACCTACCAAACGGAAATTCAACTTACCGGCGAAACTGAGGGCTTTATATGCGCTATTCAGGATCAGATGATAGTTACAAGATCACACAGGAAGTTTGTTCTGAAAGAAAACATAACGGACAGATGTAGAATGTGTAACCAATTTTCAGAATCCATACAACACATAAGTTCAGGTTGTCCCACGTTAGCACCAAGAAGTTATACAGAAAGGCATAATAACATAGCAAAACTAATTCA